CGAGAGAGGGGAGGGGCAGAGAGAGAGAAAAAGAGAATCCCAAGCAGGCTCCATGCTGTCAGCACAGAGCCCCATGCAGGGCTTGAACTCCTGAATGGTGAGGTCATGACCTGAGCCAAAATCAAGAGTTGAATGCTTAACTGATTAGTCACCCAGGTGCCCCATGAGATTAAAAAAAAAGAAAGAAAGAAAGTAAAACAGAGCTACTCCTCTCACTTTTGATGTTTTCTGGAACATGGAGTTATTTTTCATAAAATACGTCATTTTGTTAAAATGCGATGCCCCTCAGCCCCAGGCTGGGCCAGAAGCCCCTCCTACGAGTCTTTCTCTCACCCCCACCTCCCAGGGGGGCTATGAGCCTGAGTCCTGCCCTCTTCACTCCCAGACCCTGCTGTGGACTTGGAGCTTTGCAGGATCCCCTCTAGGCTGCTGCGCTCAGGGGCAGGGGGTCCTGTTTCTGTCATCAGGCACAGAGCCTGGCTTAGCTAGGTGCTCAACAACCCTCTTCTTTTTGGAAAATCCATGCTATTTCTTGAACAAACATTAACACAGAAGTGAGTCACCCCAAGAAATGAAATTTGTCAAATTTCAGCATCCCCGTTCAGTTCCCCCACCCAGTCCCAGTTTCTTGCATCATTGTGACACCAGCTCAGCACAGTTCTCAGAGCTGTATTTTCATTCAGCTGTAAAACACAGTATTTCCCCAAATTAAAAAAAAAAAAAAAGTTGAGAAAATAATCTGTTGAGTTGATGGAATAATTGACTCTCCTAACTTGGGACCTTCAGCTCTTCCAGGGCGATGAAGTTTATTCCACTCCCATTCAAAGAACAAATATTTAAAATAAAAGTGTCTATCTGCTGGCAAATATACGGTGAAATGTATATACTCCCTCATCCTAGCGTAAATAGAAAGATCCGGGTTGGTAAGTTCTATGATGTGTTCCTGGCATCCTAAAATGTTCCAAGGCATAAAGTAAATAATTTTGATCCTGAGATGTTATCCTGAAGGGATGGTGCAAACATTGGAAAGATCCAGCATTTATTTAATTGAATTAAACCTTTAAAAGAGCCTGGGCGACAGTTTTGCTCTCTGTTTTCTGGCTGATTCGGGGTCCAGTCAGGTCTTGCCTTCTTTCTTCCCATATATTCCCTCAGGCCAGTTCTTCCCTCTCCTCCTCCGTATGGCCTCTTTGTCCCCAAAGCCTCCTTCATGAGGTGTCACCGTCTCTAGGAAGCCCTCACCCCTCTTTGAGGTCTGAGCCAGAGCTGGTAGCAGGGGCGCCAGGCTGACAACAGAGCCCTCGTCACTTCTGCACCCTCTTTCCTTTCACCTCCATTGCCCACGTTAGTCACCGGTGGGGCCATGTGGCCTGGGCCCCACCCACCCCATGTTCTGGCTTCAATTACCTAGGAGCTCCGCATTTGGTCCTAGTCCATCACTTATGTCCTCAAGTCCCAGGTATCTGGCCCTGATTGACAGAAAATGATGACAAGTCTCCTGTACCCCCAGTTCTGGCTTGCTAGAAATTTCCTGTGCACCTACCCACTCAGGTGTCCTGGAGATGGTGTCTGATTGTATACAGACAGAAGAGATTCATTCATTCATTCATTCATTCATTCACTCACTCATTCAACATTTGTTAGTGCTTGTACTGTATCTGGTCCTTTTCTGGACGCTGGGGCTGTTGAGAGGAGCGAGGTACCTGCCTTCAAGGAGCTCATGGGGGCAGATTGATGAATAGGAAAGGTGAAAACCGGGGCGCCTGGCGGCTCAGTGGGTTAAGCATCCGACTTCAGCTCAGGTCATGATCTCGAGGCTCGCTGGTTGGCGGCCCCCATCGGGCGGAGCCTGCTTCAGATCTTTTGTTCCCCTCTCTTTGCCCCTCCCCCTCTCTCAAAAATAAATTTTAAACAAAAAAGAAGGGAAAAACCATACTAACCAGAGTTGACACTCTTTCTTCCTTTTTTTTAATGTTTATTTATTTTTGAGAGAGAGAGAGAGAGAGAGAGGGAGGGGGAGCAGGGGAGGGGCAAAGAGAGAAGACAGAGGATCCAAAGTGGGTTTGAGGCTGACAGCAGAAAGCCCCATGTGGGACTCAAACTCATGAATCATAAAATCATGACCTGAGCGGAAGTCGGACACTTAAACGACTGAGCCACCCAGGCGCCCCTGAGCAAAGTTTTAAGGCTGAGCAGGATTTAGCCAGCTGGGGAGGGAGGAGGAATGGTGTCCCCAGTAGACATAACAGCATGGACAAAGGCTTGGCAATGACTCCAGTTGGTTATGGCCCAAAGAAGCCCTGAATTTTGAGACCTCCTTTGTGTATTTTTTGTGGGAGGAGGGGTTGTCACAAAACAGCGAGAAAGGAAAACTCACCCTTCTTCCCGGCTCTGGAGGAGGGTGACTTTGGATTAAATCCAGTTTTGCCCCTGACCAGCTGTGTGGCCTTGGGCAAGTCACTTCACCTCTCTGAGCCTTACTTAGTTGCCACATCTTCCCCCAAGACCCATTCACTGCATCCCTCAGAAAAAAACGGAATTCAATGAGATAATGGGCATAAAGGTTTAATACAGGAATTCTCAACACTATTGACATTTTGGCCCGGATGATTCTTTTTTGTGAGAGGCTGTCCTGTGTATTGTAGAATGCTAAGTGACAATCCCCGGCCTCTACTCACGGCATGCCAGTAGCATCTGCAACAATCTGTGACAATTAAAATGTCTCCAGACATTGCCAATGCCCCTGGGGGGCAAAGAATCACCAGTCTAATACAGTGCCTGGCATGTGGTAGGGACTCAATAAATGTTTATTCTCTTTCCCATTCAAGTCTGGAGGGAGCACTAACTTTTGTCCTGTTGGAACAGGAAGGGCCTTTAGGGATCTCTGTGCAAATAAGAAAACAGGGCTCAGAGAGAAGTTAGCAGGCTAATGTCACACAGCACGTTACTGGCAGAAGGAGGCAGGTGGAATAGAGACAAAGTAGCCTTGACAAGGAGACCCCAAAACACACTGGTTTAAATAAGCTAGCTCATTCTTTTACTGCCATGGAGCCCAGAGGTGGGTGGTCAGGGGCTTTAGGAGCAGCTCTGCTGGCTCAGTACACAGCTTCCACCTCTAGGTCTCAGACAGTTCTGCTCATTCCCATTTCTAACTTGATAGAAGGAAGAAAGTAGAGGGACCCCCCCTTCTTCTTTCTTTTTTTTTTTTTTTAAAGCTCATTTCCCAATGTGGGACTTGAACTCACAACCCAAGATCATGAGTCACACGCTCCACACACTGAGCCAGCCAGCCAGGAACTCCTTCCTTTCAAACACATCATTTCTGCTGATATGCCATTGGTCAGACTTTAATCGCATGGCTACTGCAAGGGAGGCTGGGAAATGTAGTCTCTGGCTGGGGACGATGTGCCCAGTTAAAATCTGGGGAGGGGAGAGAATGACCACTGGGAGATCATTGGCAGTGTTGTGATAAAGACGGGGTGAAAACCCAAGATCTCCCAGGACCATGGTTTTCTCTACCACATCAGGGCTGTTAGCAGTCAATCAACAAACACTAGGGTGGTTGTGATAGCAATTTCAGCGTGTAGAGGGGACGCAATAGCTATCAGGCCCTAGTTAAACACTTCCCATCCTTGCAACAGCCTAGTGACCGAGGTTTTACTGTTAATTCCCTACAGGGGAGAAACTCCAGATTCTGAGAGGCTAAGTAAATTACCCAAGATTTCAGAGCTAGAAAGTGGCAGGGGCCATCTTGAGCTCAGATGTGCCAAACTCCCTGGCCCTCGCCCTGTGCCCAGCAGCCCCTTGGCACATCTGAACTGAGGTCCTCACGGGATCACTCAGGAGAGCTGGTCTGAGGCCCCTCCAGGCCACTCCAGGGACTCAAGAGTCCCTTGAGGTGACTGGACCCCATGAGGCAGTCCCTTTTGGATGGGGTGGCATCCTCCTCCCTGCAGGGCAAAGGGGAAACTGAGGCCTGCATGTAGGGAGGAAGACCAGCCTCGAGAGGCTCTCATGTGTCAGGGGCAGAAGAAAGCAGTGCCTGCTGGGGGCTGAGGAGGCAGCCAAAGTGCCTGGGCAACGGGATATCACTTCTCTGAGCAAAGGCTCTCATAGTTGTGTGTTCAAATCCAGATTTGCCACTTGCTTACTGTGTGACCTTGATGAGTCACTTTCCCTCTGTGAGCCTTAGTTTCCTCATGTGTCAAATGGGGACAAGAACAGTGTTTCCTGGCTGTTGTTAAGAACTGGTGAGGTCACATGTGGCCAGCAAAGGCAGCTCCCCAGGATGGCAGTGGTGGTAACATAAGCAGAGCGATGCTGACTCAACCATGGCCTGGCACAGCCTGGGGTGAGCTGAGCTCTGGAGTGTGGAAAGAGGGACCTCGGCTGGAGACAGCAGCTGGTCTCCAAGGGACCCTTGGCTTCACCAGGCTGGCTGGGCCTCCGTGCACCTGGCAGGTGGGCGCACAGGCTCTCAGGCTGGCAGTTGGAGGGGAGATGAGCCCTGGAGTCTGGGGACCATGGGTGTTCTCAGGGGTTGCTTGAATTGATCTCAGCTCCAGCCCTTCAGGGGGCACGGAGGGGCAGGCTGGGATGTGGCCTAGGCCCCTGACCCTACGTCATTCTGCTCTGTACTCCTGAGCCCATGGATCAGATGTCCCCAGTCCTCCACAAGGCCTCTCAGAGTCCCTGGAGGGCAGGGGACAAAAGCACTAGGTGGGGTCACCCAGAATGTGACTGTCGCATTCCCACTGCTTGCCTGGTCCACAGTAGGGACTCACTAAATACCTGCCGAGCGTGTGAATGGATGAATCAAGGGGTCTGCCACTGCCACCGACTGGCTGTGTGACCCTGGGTCAGTCTCTTGCCCTCTCTGTGCCTTGTGAAACAAGATGGATAGTCCCAAATATCTCTTCCAGATCCCACCCAGGTCTCTACCGCCCCAGTTGCCCCCTCCCCATGCCAATGGAGGGAATAAAAGGAGCCACACAGGAGGGTGCAGAAATTGTTTTTTTATTGCAGGGGGTGGAGGGCGGTGAGCACAGAGGCTGCTGTCCCAACCATGAGGAGAAGGATGTGCGAGGGCTCCTTCTGACTGAACTTAGGCTGTCACTCTGGTTGGATGGTGGCTGTACCTTACCAGATGGAGATGCTACGTGGGGCACAGTCAAGCCACTGGGAACTGAGCTGGAATGAGACCGCAAGGGCTTAGGGCACTGACCGCAGTGGGGTTGTTGTGGATCCCTGTCAGCCACCAGACCCTGCTGCCCGAACTCTTTTCCACAATATCCTACAGAGTCTCACGTCTTGGAGAAGGGACTGGCACCTGTGGTTTGGGGTTTGCCTCTGGCACCTGACACGGACCTATCCTCCTCCCCTCACCCTTCTCTCCCCTCACCTTAGGAGCAATGGCAGATGTGAAAAGACTGATCAGAGGCCAAGACTAGAGCCAGGGTTCAGGGCTCAGTATACGACCAGGATCGTGGATCAGTCTGAGATCAAGGTCAGGGCTCAGTCTGTGACTAGGATCCAGGCTCATTCTGGGTGTCGGAATAAGGTTCAAGGTGCAGAGTGTGACCAGGTCAGGGTTCAGGCTGGGGCCAGGGTCACAGCTCAGTCTATGACCAAAATTAGGGCTCAGCCTACTGCTAAAAAGAGAGAAGCCAAGCCTTGCTTTGGCTTCACCACAGGTGCCTGTGGAGGGGCCTCATCCCCTTAATGGGGCACAGAGCCACCCCTTACCTTTGGTTGGGCATCACAGAAGCCCTCCTCATGCCCCTCTTCAGGCAGCAGCTTGCGGTTTGCTGTCCTTTGGAAGTTTATCTGAAGGGACAAAATAAATAGCAGGCCTCATTCTCCAGTAGAAACCAGACCCCAATGGCTGCTGCTCTCCAGCGGGTCAGTCTGACAGCCATGGGACCTCAGGCATGTCAGTCCACTTCTCTGAGCCTCAGTTTGTTCATCTGTAAAATGGGTATAATGACAGCACCCACCCCACAGGGCTGTTGCGAGGCTCCGATGGGATGGTGTACGCAGAGCGTAGAAAGATCGCCCAAGGAACTGACCTGTGGCTGTTTCCATAGAGGGGCCACCTCCAGGACCCTGATACCTTCACCTACCCACTTCTACTGCTTGGCAACCCCAGCCACGCCTGGAGACCCAGAGAACAAAGAAAGCCACTCCCCCACCCCCCATGGCTGGAGGAGAAGCCACGGCTTTTCACAAGGAGGGAAAGAGGCCAGCTTTTCCTCTGAATCCACTCATCAGCCTCCGGTGTTTACAATCTTGGTTCACCCGGGAGGAAACCCAGGCTCAGAGAGGCAGACCCATTTGAACAAGGTCCCATAGCTGCTAAATAGCAGAGCCAGGATTTGAACCCAGATATGGCCGCTCTTCTCACATCTCACAGGCAGGTTCTGTGGGTTTAAAGAGGGATGATAGAGAGCTCTCAGAGGCCCACAGAACCCCCTCAGTTCTGCAAAGACTCCATCCAGCCACACTCCCCCAGCTTGCTCAGACGTTGGGTCCTCCTGCTTCTCCAGGGTCCCCTGGCCAGACCTACCATGGGGTGGGTGCAGGGTTCGTGCTTAACCTTAGAAGGCTGCAGAGGGAAAAGCTCCCCCCCCGCCGCCGTCCCCAGGCTGTGACTTACCAATGATGTCATGTAAAATATGTTCATCCACGGTGGAGACCAAGAGGTGGATCAATGGGCACACCTGTGGGGTGGGAGTGGGGGCGGGCGGAGAAACAGGGCAGAAGGGAAGGAGGGAGGGGGAGGAGGGCCAGGAACAGGAAGGAGGACAAATCATTATCAGCTGGGGAGAAACTGCCAGCTGCCCAGGAGTATCTCAGAACCTTTGACCCTTAGGATTCTAGAACAACAGAAACTTAGAAGTCTAAAACTAGAGAACAATAGGATGTTAGAATTCTAAAACCTTAGAACATTGGAACCCTAGAACCTTGAGAATCTAGAATGTTCACATCCCAGAACCCTACACTCTTGGAAACCTTGAACCTTGGCACCCTGGAATTTTAAGGAATCAAATGGGGCCCTGGGAACCATAGAGCAGAGTTTCTCACCATTCTGTGTGTACAATCCCCTGAGGAGCTCACTAAAATGCAAATTCTGACTCAGCACGTCTGGGTGGTGATGGGGCAGGGGGGCGGGTTGAGAGCCTGCATTTCTAGTAAGCTCCCTGGTGAGGGTCCATGCTGCTGGTCAGAGGACCACATTTTGAGTAGTGAGGCTCCCATTCAGTGAATCACAGAGCCACGTGGAGGATTTTTCTTTCACAAACCCAGATTCCCAGCCCCCTTCCAGAATGACTGATTCAGAATCTCTGGAACTTTGTGTGTACATATGTGTGTACGTATGAAAATGATGAAAATACCTATTTTTACAGGTTGGTGTTTATTGCTTTAATTAATTATCTAAGTGATACTAATTTCTAATTATGGTGGAGATATAGTTTTCTTTTAAGATAAATGTATTTAAATAAGTTTAAGTAAAATTGCATTGTTTAAAAGAACACATTAGCTAAAAAGGCCAGGTAGATATGGCCAGTGGCTCAAGTTTGGGACCCAATGATTTCAGCTACTGTCAGGCCCTGGTCCTCTCTCCTGCTCCCTAGGCTGAGTAAAGGGGTGCAGGTTCCAGCTGACAGCCCAAGGAGAAGTTTGCACCTTGGAAGAAAAGGTGCCAGAGAATACGATCAGGCCTGTGAATGGTAAACCTGCCTCCCTTCTCCCCCCCACCCCTCTCATGTCTCTGGGCCCCCAGGAGTGGAGGACTCACCTCCTTCTCTATTAGGTGGGACACAGTCTTTTCCAGGATGCTGGTCATGGAGTTCAGGACCTTGTTGATCAGTTGACTGTGGCTGGAAAAGAGAGGCAACTGATAAAGCCAGGCAAGTGGGGAGAACTGCCACATAGCAGCGGGGAGGAGGGTGGGAGATGATGTAGCACCTTGAAGTCACATAGACCCAGGGACACTGTGACGCCTTTCTAACCACAGAGTGCTGTTCAGGGGCACCCCACGTCTGACCAGAGGCTCACCTCAACCTGTGAGAGTCTCCTCACAACCTTAAGACTTCATTCATTCATTTATTCATTCAACACATATTTACAGATCACCACCTACATGCCAGGCACTAAGCTGGGCTGGGGCCACGGGGAGGAGCAAAACACAAGCACCATGCCTCCTGGTACCTAAGCATGAAACAAGTCTTGCTAAGTCTGGCTCCTTCCCACCTTCAGCTCTCAGCATGACCCACACCTCCTCCGAGCAGCCTTCCCTGACTGCTCGCCTAAGAGAGTGCTTTGCATCAGACCGCTATGTGTCTGACATTATAATCTGACATTTTCTTTGAGGGCTCTTTACAGATGGACTAGAAGCTTGTCTGCCTGCCTTTCCCTCAGGACAATAAACTCCAGGAAAACAGGGTCCTTGTCTGTTGTCATCAAAAATTCTCCAGAGTTCAGAGCCTATCTGGGACATAGCAGATGTTCAAGCATTTTTGGCTAAAAGAAGCAATGAAATAAATATAGAATTAAATATATAAGGACAACTTGGGACAAGTACTCTGAAGAGCTAGAGTAGACTATTTCGAGGGAGAATAGAAGGAAACTTTTTAAAATCTTTTTTTTTAAGTTTATTTATTTATTTTGAGAGATAGAGAGCGAGAGCATGTGTGCAAGCGGGGGAGGGGCAAAGAGAGAGGGAGAGAGAGAATCCCAAGCAGGCTTAGCACTGTCAGCACAGAGCTCGATGTGGGGCTTGAACTCACAAACCGTGAGATCGTGGCCTGAACTGAAATCAAGAGTCAGACGCTTAACCAACTAAGCCACCCGGGCGCCCCAGGAGGAAGCATTGCTAGAACCTGAAGGTTAAGAAGAACATGGAGGTGGAGGGGCAAGGTGTTCTAGGAGGCCGGAACAAGGACAGGTATAGAGGTGGGAGAGAGCTTCTCTGAGCCCAGAGTAAGGGCCAGGGTGCCTGGAACGCAGTGAGTGATGGCAAGAGCGCAGTGATCTGAGGGTGGGGCCAGCTCATACTGAGCCCAGACAGCTGTGGGGAGCACTTGGGGTGAGCAGGCTGGGGGCAGTAGAGAGGAATGCCATTTCACAGATGTGGACACTGAGACCCAGAGTGACAGGATGAATTCCCTGGGACCTGCAGACAAGGCCGTATCCAGCAGGGCTCAGGTCTGTCACTTTGTATCCCAGCCTTCCCAAATAACATCAGGCAGGAGAGCCTTTCTCTGGTTTGGGCGGGGGGAGGGAACTTCAGGCAACCTGCGGTCATATCCCTCGAGAGGGGTATGGTAGAGTGACCTCTGCTCATAGCCCTCACGGCTGAGAGCTGAGAAGCCAGCCTTGTTTCCTCCCAAAGCCAACCTGCCCCAGCCCTCAGCTTCCAGCCTTTCCTCCTCCATGAGCCACCTCCAGGGTCACCCTTCCTCTCCCAATCTTCTTTCCCCGCCAAACGTGCCCTTTCAAGCACAGTTTAAGGCATAGGTTTTGTGGATTAACAGGGATCGACGATTTTAATGGAGAGGATTGAGTTTTCAAGATCTCATTTTGGGAATTTTCCAGTGGGTGGAGGCCTCTCTGGGGGCAATCGGAACTTAGAGCCCATGGTAAGCAATGACTTCTCTTCTCCCCCCCCACCCCCACATGGAGGCAAGAAGGTGAATACAGTTTGTTGTTGTTGTTATTACGGGATATAACATAATGATAGAGGGGTCCATTTTGCAAGAAAAAGTAACAATCCTAAATGTGCACATGCACAAAACAACAGAGCTTCAAAAAGCGGGAAGCAGAATCCTGGCAGCACCGTAAGGTGGAACGAACAGATTCGTGCTCAGAGGTCAACACTCTGGTCTCGGTAACGGAGAGAACAAGGAGACAGAGTCCGTATGGGTATTATGATCCCTGAGAGCTTAGTGTGTGCCAGGCTGGGTGCCAGACACTTGTGTCTTTCCATCTGGTCGGCTCAGCAACTGAGGAGCAGGCATTATTATCACCTTCACTGAAGGGAAAACTGAGGCTCGGAGTTGGTCACAATGTTACAAGCTGGTAGCAGAGCCAAGGTCTGTCTGACTCCAGAGCGAAACTCCTTTTCGCTGCATGGTGCTGCCTCGTGGGTATAGGAATAGGGCTGAGATTAGGGGTCCTCAACTCCCCTGAGAGCCCAGCTCTGCTGAGGTGGAACAAGGGCCTTACCCGTCCAGCAAGGTGATGGAGATGCTGTCTGAGTCACTGAGGCATTCTCCCAAGACCACTTTGGGGATGCCAGTCTGGGCATCGGTTTCAAGTCTGAGGCTAGTCAGGAGGTCCAAAGAAACTTTCAGGTTGACCTTCTGGCCAATGAGAGGCCTGTAGGAAATAAGATTCCCAGTGAATGCAAATCGAGAAGGCCTGCTAAGCTTCCTCCACCGTGGGTACGCACTACCCAGGATGTCTATGGCTGATGTCAGTGTCATCTATATTCCTCATGAGACTGACATATTTATGTTAGGGGCGTCTTTGCCTGGCCACATGGATATGGCTCATATGACATTTTTATATAGCACCACTGTAATAATTAAAATAATAATAGTTAACAGTTATCGAGGGCAAATCATATGCCAGGCATTTCTAAAATGCCTGGATTAATCCATGTCATTACACAAACACCATGAGGGAAAAGCACTATTATCCCTATTTTCAAAATGGGGAAATACTGGTACGGACAGGCTAAGCAACCATCCCAAGATCTCATTGCCAATGAATGATGGAGCCCCCGTGTCCTCCATTTATCTGCTCCCACACATGCTCATTCTCCTATCTATCTTTCTTAAAGTCATTAATATACTTTAAAATTGTATTTGTCACACACGCCCTTCATTATATACTGTACAATACTATATGCATTAGGCACAGTGGTCCTTGCTATTCAAAGAGAGTCTCAAGAGAGCAGATAATGCTGGAGGAAATTTTGCCAAAGAGTTGTGAATGCTCATGTTTTCTCAATTTTTCAAATGTTACAATTAGATTGTAAAAGTTACAAATTTTACAATCGTACAAATGTTACGATTTCAGAAATATTTAACGGAAGGTTCTTTTAAAAGAGACCTGGTGATGGCCAAAGTTCATCAGAACATTTTAAGGGCTCAGATCTTAGAGCTGGAAAGGCCCTCTCATTTACAGATTGGGAAACTGAGGCCCAAGGCCACATAGCAGCATGGAAAAGTGCCTGGTTCCAATTTGGAAATCCCCTGGCCATGCTGCACTGCCACTCCCCAATCCCAGATTCGAATGCGTACTCACAGAGCCAGGGTGACATTAGCGGTGACGGGGACCCTTATGTTAATGCCTTCGCCATCAGGAGTCAGTTCAATTTTGATATTCAGGATGCGGGAGTTAAGGATGTTCAAGCTGTGCAAAAACCACGGTTTGCCTTTGTTATTCCTCGTGACAGCCATGCTACCCTGACGCCAGCATCACGCTGAGCATTTGGGCCTCACCACCCCTGCCTTCTTTGGCCTTCACGGTCGCCCTGTTTGGAAGTTTGATCCTCTCCGTGTTGGGGCGTAGCAAAAACGGGCACTCAGACGGATGTCATTTCCCCCACAGATTCCGGGGAGCAACAAGTGTCGGCATCAGAACTTGAACCCAGAACCGTCTGACTCCAAAACTCTATGTGTGGAGCCAGCTATGTGGTATGCATTCCAGTTTTCTCTCTCCTGAGGGGATCCAGACTTTTACCCTCAGCTATATTTGGAGAAGAAAGGTCTTATTCCTTGGAAGAGGGACTTCAGGCACCAGCAAGCAGGTGGGGGTGAGGATTAAAGGGACCTTCACTGGGATCCTGAAATTACAGAATGTGGAAGCCCAAACCCATGAGCTGCTCGGACTGGCCCCGCGGCCCTGCTTCTAATTTGCTCAAGCCCTGATGAACCTGGCCTCAGACGGCCTCAGCTCTATGAGGAGGAGCAAGATTTATCCACCCTTCTGTCTTTGATCTTAAACTCACCTCCCCAAAGGTGTGTGTTCCCTTTTCCTGAAGCAAAGCTCTCCACCTTGAAGCATCAACTCACCTCAAAGTCCCGTCCTTAAGTGAGAGGACCTTCGAAAGAGCATCGTTCACCAACTTCTCAGCTTCCTGCAGCTTCTGCTTGGCCAGCTGCCAAACCTTGGAATCCTGAAGCACCGCCACGTCAGCCTTCAGTTTCTGAAGGATAGCTGACAAAAACAATTGCCATTGAGAGTTGTGTGCCGTTTGTGGAGCAGTGACCATGTACGAGGCGCTAGGAAAGACCATTTGCCTATGTTATTTTATTTACTCTTCCTAACAATACAAATGAGGTAGATATTGTTATTATCTGCATTTTCAGATGAGGAAATAAAGGACCGAAAGGTTAAGAAATGTGCCTAAAGTCATGCGGCTGGGGAGACTTTGCTCCTTCCGTGCTGCCTTTGTACTAATACATACTCATCATTCGTACCCAGAGCAATCAATCAACGAACGAGGCAATTGATATCGATTGTACACCAGCTTCTAGTTGAGGTGGGGTGGGGGGGGGTGGTCTATTGCTCTGAATGAGATGTTCACACAAGTTTCAGAAACTGGGTCAAACAAAATGAAGAGAATAAACTAAGAAATGGAAAATCCAGAATCAAGGGAAAAGTATGGCTCCAACTCATAAAAGTGGCAAATGGGAGTTCGAGGATGAGAGCTTGGCAGCAGGCATTTAGAGGCATTCATAAAGGGGTGCCTGCGTGCCTCAGTTGGTTAAGGGTCCATCTCTTGTTTTCGGCTCAGAGCATGATCTCACAATTTGTGAGATCGAGCCCCAAGTTGGGCTCTGCACAGCGCTTGCTTGGGATTCTCTCTCTCTCCCTCTCTCTCTGTCCCTCCCCAGCTCCCACTCTCCCTCTCTCTCTGAAAGTAAATAGATAAACATTTACAAAACAACAACAACAAAAAGAAATCAGAATTAAAAAAGGAGACAAAATTAAATAAATTTAAAGCTAGGTAGCTTTAAAGCTACCTAGGCTTAGGGGCGCCTGGGTGGCTCAGGTGGTTAGGCATCTGACTCTTGGTTTTGTCTCGGGTCATGAGCTTGCAGTTTGTGGGATCAAGCTCCATTTTGGAGCTGTTAGCATTGCTGTTAGCCCAGAGCCTGCTTGGGATTCTCTCCCTCCTCTCTCTCTGCCCCTTTCCCCCTCCCCACTCAAACGTGTGTGTGTGTGTGTGTGTGTGTGTGTGTGTGTGTGTTTGTGCATGTGTGTGTGTGTGCTCTCTCTCTCAAAATAAATAAAGAAACTTAAAAAAAAAGCTACCTAGGCTGAGGGCTTAAGTATGGCTAATTTCCAATGAACTAATACAAATTAATAGGAACATTGAACAACGTAGCAGAAGAATAGGCTATGAATATGAACAAAATGTGCTAAAATATGTAAACAGCTAATAAAATATGGAAAAAATGAGTGGATTCTTTCATAATTGGAGAAATGCAAAGTGAAATGAGTCATAATCTTTTGTCTATGACATTAGCAAAACACTTAAGTTGCCCATACTAGTACTGTCAAGGGTGGGGGAGGGGAAGGCGCTCTCCCAAGACTAACGGAGAGAATGTTAATGTAAGGGATTATTTGTCAACAACGACTGTAATTTAAAATATGCATACCTTTTTTTAATTAAAAAAAATTTTTTTTAATGTTTATTTATTTTTGAGATAGAGACATAGCATGAATGGGGGGAGGGTCAGAGAGAGGGGGAGACACAGAATCGGAAGCAGGCTCCAGGCTCCGAGCTGTCAGCACAGAGCCCGACGTGGGGCTCGAACTCGTGAACTGCGAGATCATGACCTGGGCCAAAGTTGGACGCTTAACCGACTGAGCCACCCAGGCGCCCCTAAAATGTGCATACCTTTTGAGCTTTTGAAATCTCACTTTTAGGAATTTATCCGACGCATATATTAGGAAAAGTTTGCCATGATGTAGCGTGTAAAGGGATATTCATTTGAGCATCGCTTATTCCTAGAAAAATAAGTGAATGAACTACAACTGAATAGCCACCTTTCTCAGCAAACCACTCATAAAGAGCATCCCCTGGTGGCAGCCTCTGGTAATGCGGGCATAGAATTTAGGCCAATCATCTTGATAACTCACATTCAACTGTATTGTCAATGGTCTCAAGTCCTTTCTCAACAGCAGGTTTCAGCTTGTCCACAACATTATTCAGGTCGTTGCTAAGGTCTCCAAGAAGAGATGCCGAGGTCCCAGTGAGCAGGCCGCACAAGAGAACAAGTTTCCAAAGCTGAAGCATCTTGTCTTAACACTTTGACACCAGGAGGAACAAGAGTGAGAATTACCCAGAGAGAAAAGGATCATCTTTGATAAGCACCTGTTACTCTTACACTTAACATTCCTTTAAGGTAGATGTGGTCATCTGCCGTTTTACAGATGGGCAACCCAGATCAGAAAGCTAGAGCAACTTGCCCAGAAACACACAGCCAGTGAGTGGAGGAGCTGGAATTTGGCAAGTCACACTTAGTTCCAAGTCTATGCTCTTTACACAAAGGTCCTTTGCACATGCTAGCTCCTCTGCCTCCTTGTCTTTGCAATTTTACCTAAGTTATTTCCTACTGACTCTCCAGCTTCAGTAAGACATCATGCCCTCTGTGAAGCCCACTCTGGCCCCTTCCCAGAGTCAAGGTTAGGGGGCAGCCCCACACACACACCATCTTGCTGTCTTCGTCCTCTGATCAGAGTTCTGGATGTCAATAATAATGCTACACTCAAAATATTAGCTAATCCAAGTGGCCCCATCCTTCTGTCTCTTGCCCCCCAAACATTCTGAAGATCACCACGTGGGGTGCCATCAGGGGGAAAGCCCACCACTCACAGGTCTGGAGGAGGATGTCCGCAAATCCTTGCTCCTCTGCACAGTCTCCTGGGATCTGCTAGGGGCTGGTGGCCTTTATGTGGTGGTGACAGGATGGGAGGCTGTGCACAGAAACAAGCCCTGGTTCCGGGGCCATCCAGAGCGATTCCAAAGAAAATAACCCCTGTCCAGGATGAGCAGAGAGATTTCCAGCCCAAAGGTCACCCAGGATGCTTGAACTGAAATGGATGGACATGCAGAGGACTTTCTGCCAAGACTAAGACCAGGTTCTCATGGAGCATCCAGCTGCCAAGACGGTGGCCATTGTGAGTGGGGGTTGGGGTAAAGACTGAGAATGGATGAAGAGGAGAATGTTCTGGTGGGAGGACCAAGAGTGATCATCCAGCTAATTCTGTCCTCACTTGGGAACTGAGGCACGGAGAGGGGAAGTAACCAATTTGAGGTCACCCAGCAAGACAGGTCCAGAGGTAGGGCTAGAATTATGGCTCACAGAGAGTCAGGGTCAGCGACCAGGGAGGTCATTCTACCCAACCCTCCTCTGTGTCTGAATGCTCTTCACAAAATCTCGCGTGGTGGAGCCAGCCTCAGTGTGATGTTTGTGCTGACGGAGAGCTTCCTATCCCCCACAGCCTGTTCCATCTAGCTGGTCGGGAGCTCCTCCTGGGAGTGAACAAAATTTGCCCCACATTACCTCCACATATGTGGGCAATAGTGAAGCCCAGAAAAGTCGAGCGTCTCACCTGAGGCTGCACAGCCAGTGTCAGGAGATACGCACCAACAGCCTCATCCCTGGTCTCCCTCTGCCCACTTGCCTCCATTCGCTCTACTCTCAGCACAGCAGCCGGAGGGGTGTTCAACTCAGCCTACCCCCAGAGTCCTCGCCATGGCTCTCGAAGCCTGTGTCCTCTGTGCTCTGCCTTTCAGAATCATCTCCTACCTCTCCCTCCCCAGCCCCTACTGGCCTTCCTTCTGTTTCGGAAAGGTGCCAACCTCTTTCCTGCCATGGTCCCTCGCAGAGGCTGTGCTCTCATCCCCAGCTGTCCCCAGCCCTTGACACCCACCTCCCCAGAACTTCCCTGACTGTCCAGCTGAGGGAGCCAGCCGCTCCCACCCTCAGCTCCTTGTCGGCTTCTTTCACTACAAATCATCACAATTGGGTTTTTTTTTGTTTTAACTTGTTTCCTGCCCTCCAGCAAGTTGTTACTGTCCTGTGCTCTGGGCCTTCCTCTCGCATGGGTCCCTAAGACACTGACCTGTCCTTAGAATGTTCCGGGCCTCTCCCTGGAGCACAGCCACCCACCTGGGCAGGTGGTGAGGTCCCCATCACCAGAGATGCGCAGAAATTGGACTAGGTGATTGCTGAGGTCCCGTGCAGCTTCATGTGGCTGGAGCTGTGGTTCCAGATCTCACTGACCTAAGTTTAAAGAGTGATGTGCATTTTCACGATTCTTCCCTTCAGGTTCTCTTTCTGCCTGGGTCTGGCTGCCTTCCTGGGGATGTGGTTTCGTCAGGCTTCCTGCCTCTTTCTTTTTCTCACCTGCCTGGCCCCGCTGTGGCCTCCTGGAGCCACCGTAGCTGCTGTGGCACCGTTCCTCAGCACAGAGCACATCAGGACAAAACCAGCCTCTCCCCCTGGCAGAGCTGCCTCTCACAGCTGAGCTCTGAGGCGATGTTGACTAGAAGCTCCTGTCCCCTGGGGTGCTCCTGGGGTGGCACAGAGACAGGCGAGTGAGTAGTGGGCCCTGCACTTCCCCTGTGCAGCTCAAAGGTCCTGCTTCCTAAGGAGCCGTATTCTCCGGATCATTCTCTCCTCTGCTGCTTCACTGGCTCTGCTTACAGGCCCTCGCCACACCCTTAAGGGCTCCCATCTGCTGGAGCATTTGGGGGAATCCCCCAAATCTGGTGTAGACCAGGCTAAATCTATCAAAGTGGAGGGAACTCAGGCCCTCTTCTTCCTGGGGCTCTCCAGATCCTACTCCTAACAGTGGTGTGGGACTCTTGAACAAGCACATTTACATACGTGTGCATACATGCACACATATGGGCGTGCGTGTGCACGTGCAAGAACAAGATGGCACAAGCTAGACTCCTCTGAAGAAAACAGATATGTTTCCCTGCCTGCAACGAGGAGAACTTACAGAAGCCTAGAGATCATGTTACCACAGTTCTGAATGAGAAGAGCTTACTACCCACAAAGCGGGGTTTGGGTCTCCACAGGTTGCCTGGGTCTGTTTTTTCCTTTAAAGACTTTAGATACAGGGGCGCCTGGGTGACTCAGTCGGTTAAGCGTCCGACTTCAGCCCGGGTCATGATCTCACGGTTCGTGGGTTCAGGCCCCACATTGGGCTCTGTGCTGACAGCTCGGAGCCTGGAGCCTGCTTCGGAGTCTGTGTCTCCCTCTCTCTCTGCTCCTCCCCTGCTCGCAGTCTGTCTCTCAAAAATAAGTAGAAAACATTAAAAAAAAAAAAGATGAAAAATAAATAAACAAATAAACAAATAAGGACTTCAGATACAATTATCTGGTGAAGACCACTGGAGAATGAAACCAATACTAAGGAAATGAGAAAGTTTGTCATTTGAGTGTCTAGATCCAACTGTACCTGAAGTCACGTATATCTCTGGACTTTTCGGTTCAAATAAATTTCTTCTTCCTGACTCACACCTGGGTAGGCTCACGTTGGCCTCCTCCCTTCCGATGGCTACTTGAGGGTTCCACCCTATACTTAAAACACTGCAGACCCCGAAGCCAGAGGGGGCCGAGAGTGCATCAGTTTCACCTCCGTGCTGGGAAGTCTGGGGAGCCTGTGGCCCAGAAAAGGAGAAGGACTGTGCAGTGACCTTGGACCCCTCTTATCTTCCTCTTTTCTTGTATGGCTTTCAGTTTTGTTGGAATTTTCTAATTTGGGCAATAGCCTTAGAAAAAGAAAAGATTAGGGGCGCCTGTGTGGCTCAGTCAGTTAAGCATCCAATTCTTAATTTTGGCTCAGGTCATGATCTCACGGTGCGTGGGTTCGAGCCTCATGTCAGGCTCTGGGCAGACAGTACGGAGCCTGCTTGGGATTTTCTCTCTCTCCCTCTCTCTCTCAGCCCTTCCCCCGCTCATGCTCTCCCGCTCTCTCTCAAAATAAATAAATAAACATAAAAAAAGATTAAACAAAATTACTTAGGAAGCATGTTTAACGTACAGGTACTTGAGTCTCATCCCTAGCTAATTTGGGTCAGGGGTTCCTGGAGCCCCAAGGGGGTCCGTGTCTAGGCTACCCCCGGGGGTGGGGGGGCGGTTGACCAGAAGCGAAAACACCTGGACTGGATGACTCACTCAGAGGTGTCTTGTACCTTGATTCCTATGGCCTACCTATGACCCTTCCCCAACCTCTGGAGCCCCAGCTCAGCCTAGACATGACCGGAACAAGCCTATAGCTCATGTGCACAGCACCCTACAGTGTAGTCTCTCTTGTAGAAGCTGGTATGAGACCCATACCAACAGACGATGGACAGTAACAACTGCCATTTATTGGGCACCTACTTTGTACGGTGCTTTGACTTCATCTGGTTTCGTCTCCCCAGCGGATTTGCGGGGCGTGTTACTGCCCCGTTTCTCGGATGAGGAGCGTGGGGCTGGGGCAGGAAAGACAACTTGCTCGAAGCCGGGGACAGGAGAGGGCAGGGCTGGGAAATGGTAACCCACCGATTGAGAGCGGCTGTTCCAGGTGCGGCCTCTTGGGAGAAGCAGCGAGTCCCCCTTTTCTGCCCAAGTACCCTGCACCCGGTAGAGGCAGGGGAGTGTCCGGCAGCTGCTGGGTGCCTGGTGCTGGGCTCGATGCTTTCGGGGCACTTTCCCCAGCTAGTCCTCACGACCACCCTGTGAGGAGGTTTTGGGAGCCCCATTACCAGTTGAGGAAACTGAGGTTCAGAGAAAGGAGGTGGCTTGCCCTGGCTTTACAAAGACAGGAACTGGTCATCTGGGTCCCCAGGGAAGATCCCTCCACCCCTGTCACACTGAGGCCAGCTGGCGGGGCGGGAGAGCCCTGGAGCTTGAATATCCTGTTTATCCCTCAGCCTCTGCTGTTTGAGTTGGTTGTAACGCCTGGTGCCCTGGGCCTGTGTCAACCCGGAACAGGCCCCAGGAAACGCCAATGGGTGCCACTTGGCATCAGGCTGGGGAGCCCTGGCAGAGGGCTCAGGAGCATCCCGTGTGTCTCCTCTGTTCCCCCACCTGCCGCTCAGTAAGGACCCGGCGGCCTGTCCTTCAAGCAAACGTGGCCCGGGCGAGGGTGGGATAGGACTGGTGGCTGGGGACCTAGCTCTCCTCACGCTGACCGTGGTGCTACCATTAGAGCATGAGCAGGGTGGCGGCCCAGGTCCCCAAGCCCAGGGCGGGGACCTGGAGAACCCAATAGAGCTGTGCTGGGTGGCCTTGGACCAGTCATCAGACCCCCCCCCCCCTCGCCTGACACCTAGTTCTGCCAACGTGGGGCCCCTCTTCCTCCGGCCATGGGGCACAGCGCTGAAATCCCTGAAGAGAGTTTTTCCCGCCCCAGGAACACAGCCCAGAAGGTGTGTCGTAAAGACCTCAGGCCTCAGTTTCCTTGTCTGTAACATGGGATAAACACCCCCGTGCCTGGATCCCAGGGGCAAAGTGGAAATCAAAAGGGTGCCGAGGGGGCTCTGAGGGTGGTGGTCAGAGCCTGGCTCGGGGCTTGGGCAGGCCTGGCTTCGAACCCCCTGTCTCTGCCTGTTGCTGGCTGAATGACCTGGATAAGGGGTGTCGTCTCTGGAAGCCTCAGGTTCCCAATCTGTGAAATGGGACTAACAGAGGGACTTACCCGCCAGGGGTGTTGTTGAGGATGAGGAGGGTAACCCGTGTGGAAGGGTTAGCACGAGGTAGGCCCTCGATACATGGTAACAGCAGTGACGAGGGTGGTTATTGTTATTGCTGGTTTCTGGTCCCTTCACTCCTGTCCACCTCGGTTTTCCCGTCTGCACGCAGCCCTGCCACCACGGGGTTAGTGACAAGGCTAA